GGCCTTGATAGCGTGACTCCATCACCGAGATGTCCTGATGGAAACGTTCACCATGTTCATCACTAACAGAACCTAGGTTTTCTGGAAAGAAGTCGAGATGTGAGTCGAGGAGATGAATCTTGAGAGACATGTTACAACCCATTAACTTGTACGCACTAATGCACTTCTGCACAATATTTACATAGTCAGGAGATTTATTATTTCCAAGGAAATTGGCTACAACAGACTTAAATGCCAACCATGCTTTTTTTTCAGTTCTGCTGAGTAAATCTTCGAAGTGACTGTCTGCTATGATCTTCCTTATTTGTGGACCTATGAATACATCTTCTTTCACTTTCGCATAACTCAACTCTGGAAACTTTTATCTCTAATGGGCTAATTCTTATTTATATAGTGGTGCTTCCTATCTCTGCTGTCCCACTCGCAGATAAAGCAGCAGTACTTGGTGTACCCTGTCTGCATTTCCATGAGAATAGTGATCACTTTTAAATCACCACACATATTCCAATTGTAATCGCGATAGCAAATTTTTTCAAGAAGTAGCGACATGGTTTCGTACGTCTCTTTTAGATGAGTAGAATAACCAACCGGTATTGATGCATACATGTTTCCATTGTGTAATAATACAGCCTTCAAACTTGCCTTGGAGGAATCAATAAATAGACGCCATGCTTCAGTCTTATGTTCTACACCGAGGCTTGACATAAGACCTTGGATGTCAGTGCAGTAGCACATATTGTCACTCATTGCAAAGAACTGCACGAGCTCTTTGTGTCTATGTCGAAATTGTGAAGTTCTTGTACCTGGTGATAGCAAATTAAACTTTTTCAGACGTGAACCTAGCAGTTCAGCTTAACCTTTTGTTAGTGCCAGGTCCCTTACAAGGTCGCAAAGATCATCATTATTAATCAAATGAATTTCATCATCATCAGGATGAAATATATATATATATATATATATATATATATATATTTGTAGTCAGAGCCTGCCATGTTGCTGGAAGACGAACTTTCTTCTTGTGTTGCATCATCGACTCTGTATTCTGTAAGTGATGTTGGTATTGAACAACTGACTGGATCACGTGGAATTGGTTTTGAAACCGAGGGAATATCTGGATACTTCACAGATGAACGAGTCTTGTATGAGAAACCTGTGACATTTGTCAAACAGAAATAACAGTCAGTGATGTGGTTGCTTGACTCACGCCATATCATAGGAACTCCAAATGCCAGATGGTTGTTGTTTTTAGCATTCCTTATCCAACCCCGTAAGTTGCATGCACATGTCAAACAAATGAACTGTGGTGCCCATGACTTGCCGCTGTCAACCTTTGAATCAAAGTATAGTTCGTAAGCTTTTCTCAGAAATGGTGTAAATGTCTTTCGGCGGCCTTAGTCTGTGAGATAGCCGCACACATAACAAAACAAGTCTGGTGAAATGATGCAGCCTCTAGACGCCATTGTTTTCACTGAAAAAAAATAGCAAATATATAGGAATAGTATAACTCATAATAAACACACAACTCATTAATAAACATACAGTTACAAATTAAGTACACTAAAGACCTATTTTCAGAACAGAATATATCAATTTAAAATATCAAAAGAATATGTTTAGTGTTGCCATCTGTTATTAACTTAGTAAACTAAACTCTATTTTCTTATTCATTCGTAACAATAAGGGATTAAAAAATGTATGTTTATGTTAATATCTTAAAAACCTGACGTAATAGAGAAAAACGGTTTTCAGATTTGTAATCAGCATGAAAAACTGCTTTAGAAAATGTAATCATCAAACAAGATATTTTTGGGTTGTTATTCAGTGTAATTTAACTAAACATTTTCACTGATATCTTCGATTCGGTTATACTTTGTTCAAGTTATATTTACTAAAAATGACGAAAGTTGCTCATAGTAAGCTATCAAGTAGAACTATAACAGAAAAATACAAAATACTATTGGAACTCGACAAAGGAGCATCGTCTGTAACTATATCAAAGAAATATGGCATTCTATAGCAAACATTGTCTGGATGGCTAAAAGAAAAAAACACAATATATTCAGAAGTTGAAAAAATAAAAAAACTTCTGCGAAAAGAGTGAAAAAGAATGGTAAGAGTCGCTTAATTCGGACATTCGCTAAATCAAACAATAAATGTATACCCTTTCGGACTCCGAGTTAACGGGATTCTACTCTACTAATATTTTAACCAAAAAAATTCTTCTTAATATGATTTCTGAAACATTTACTAAAACACCCTCCTTGCATAACATATCACATTTTAACATGTCGTTTTGGACTTATTATTTACCTACAGCAGTATTTCTATATTAAACTTGTCTCCTAATGCTATATTAGGTAATAACTCTGAAGGTTGCTAAAAATAACCTAAAAAATCTTAGTTATAGAACCGAAAGTGAAGGTGAATCTCAATTGTTTAGTTACAACAAAGGTGATCACAATTCAATATCAAACTTTATTGCATTAATTAACTTGGATATTTTATTTCTACATAAAACAGCGGATAAATGTTCAATTTATTAATTCTTAACAATTGTACTTTTTTCAAATAATTTATGCCCAAGGGTAATAAAATAAAATGAAAGTATGATCCTTGGGTTACTCCACATATTAAAAAACTAATTCGGCCAAAAAAATCCGCTTGGTATATCAACTGCTATTAACTATCAACTAAATGAAAGAATAACTAAAATAATTAACTTAAAATAAATAAGAATAATTAAAATAATTAACTTAAAATAAATTGCAACTTTCTTAACCATTCAGTAAAGGTTGAAATATTCAAAGCAAAAAAAAACACATGAAAAAATATATATATTAAAATCTCTGAATAACCCAAAACTCGTCTACAAATATATTAACAAACAATTAAAAATTAAAGAATTCGTTCATTCAAAAATACTAAACAGAACTATTAAAGCTCCTAATAAAATCTTCGATCTTCTAAATTTTCAATTTGTATCTATAATTACTTTTGAATATTTGTTCTGAATATTTTTCATCGTTAAATAAAAGTGAAATTAAACCTGAATGAGCTTATAATGATCTTGTAACAACTTGAGTATGATATTATTAAATAACTTTCCAATTTAAACCCCTATTCTGAAATATTATCCACTCTTTAGAAAACAGCAAATTTTATTTTGGTCTATGAAAAAAAGGAAACTTGCTTAAAACTATTGACCTATTTTAATAATCTCTGTTAAAATCTTAAAGCCAGCAAAATCTTTGAAATACTTGTTAAGAACAAAATCTTTAAACGCATTAACAATGATAACATATTCTCTTCTTCATCTTTCGCATTAACAATAATAACAATAATAAACACATTAACAATAATAACATATTCTCTTCTTCATCTTCATATTCAAATCTTTACCATAAATTTATGCTTTTTTTGTGATAAATTATGCTTCCTTCACGATAAACTATGCTTTCTTCACGATAAATTATGCTTTTTTTACCATTACTGCGCCAAAACGTTTGATTCTCTGTCTTACAATAGACTTATGTTAAAATATTTTGGAACAAACGGCAAACAAAATAAAAGGTATAATAAGTCATTCCCTAAGAAGCTCTAGCAAAGAGCGCGCTTTAGGAGTCATTTTTTCATTTAACAGCAAATAGAGCTCCCCCCCCCCTTTTTTTTTTTTTTTTTGTTTCTAAAACACTTTTTTTTTTTAAGATAAATCTTGATATAGAGTACTTTTTTCTTAAACTGATAATTGTACCCCCCCTTCCCCACCTTAAAACCCGTGTTGTCGGCCTGTCTTGCTGTCTTTATTGATAAAAATATGGCTCTCAAGTTATATAGAGAGATAATAAGACCACACCCTATATAGTTTACAGTGTCTATTTTGAAGTTGGGTTTCTTTTTTAAAAACTTATAAAACTTTTATTAAGTTTGTTCAACGCAAAGCAGCAAAATAGACTTCAAGCATCTTTAAAATAAAATAGACATCTTTAATTCTGCAAAAGACTAAGAAGATCAAATATACAATCGTTGATAAAAATTCGGTTGTGTTTGGATTGATCAACGATAAGGTTAGAGTTAGGAGAAGTTTTCCGCACTTTATTCCCGCATTTTACACACAAAAATTCTGTATTTTTGCATTATAATCGTTGCTCATTCACAAACTCTCAGCACTCTCATGCGATATTTAATCTCAGCACTTATGCGATATTTAATCTCAGCACTTAATCTCAGCACTTATGCTATATTTGACATTAACTAGCGTGACAACTGCAAAGATATTCTTAAGCACATTAAAAAGAATTAAAACACATTTAAGGACAACAATAGCGAAAATCATTTTGTCTGCACTAAACGTAATAGCTATTGAAGTAGCAACTCAACTAAATTATAGTATTCTGGACTACTTTATATACCTTATAGTATTCTGGACTACTTTGCAGCTATAAAGCCAAGAAAAGAATTTTCATTAGATTTTCTTCTTACTAGACTTATATTGTGTTTCTATGGTTTCTATTTCATTAAATTTAATTGTATTTAAAAACAAAGTTTTTGTTTACATGTATTATTTTATTCAAAGAGGGGGAAGGGAGGATGAGGGTAGTAGAAAAGAAATTTAGAGGCCCGGATTAAAGTTTTGCGGGGACTCACTTTTTGTTGCTACGCTACTGAACATGTTTAATTAAGATTTATTTCCGTAATGTTTCTGTAGTTGTTTTTGCGTAATATATTTTTGTAAAAGGTGCATTTTTTTCTGTTTTTTAATGTTATTATTATAATTATTATTATTTTTACGTTAAAACAAATCAAATTCTAAAAAAGTAAAAAGTGTTCAAAAGAAAATACAAATCAAAAATAGTTTAAACATAGCTATTGGAAGGCATACACAATTTTAATTTAAACGGTTGGCTGATTTTGATCGAATTTTTTTTTTTTTTGTAACATTTTTCTTAAACAATTAATTGTGTGAAGAAAAATGTTTAAAAAAGCTTTTAACAATAAACTAAAAAAATAAATTAATTAAAGAAATAGAAAAGAAGAATTGTTGTTGTGGCATTGATAAAATCTTTAAAAAAAAAGATTGAAAAATGAGATTTTTAAATTTGTTACTATGGTTTCTTAGTTTGAGTTATGCACAATTTATGCTAAAGTTGGTTAGTGGAGCAAGTATGTCGCAAATAGAGAAAGCTTTAGAAACCTCGTTTTTTAAGCTATGGTTTTTTAAACATAACTTTACAAATTTTTCCAGTTTAAAATTCGATATGGAACTAAGCTTAAGTAATGATGGCTCTGCCACCCAAGAAGGACTTGAAAGGATATTTTATAAAATGGTTCGCGGAATCAACGTCACCATGGTTGTCTTTGGCGGATCATGTTCAAGAGGTGCTGAGCTTGGTTGCTTAAGCTCGTTTTGCACATACCATTATGCTCTTGGTGCTTGGTGGAACTCTGTAATTGCCCCTATAACTGGCAGTTTTTTAAAAAGAAAGGTTTTAGCTGTTGGGGGAACCGGATCTACGTACTATGGTCATTGTTGGGAAGAATATATTATACCAAATTATGAAATAGATATTGTTCTCTGGGAGTTTTGTATAAATGATCCAGACAGTTACGATTACGGTCGGGGTTTAGAAAAATTAGTACGCTCTATACTGTTGTATAAAAGTAAACCTGCTTTAATATTTGTTCAGTTTTTTTCGAGTAGCATACTTACAATAGATGGAGGAAACGTATTGACGCCGACTTGGGAATATAAGTTGAGCACCATAGCTACGCTTTCTCAGCATTACAAATTCACAACTATTGATCTTTTGAGTTCTGTTGCTAATCGTGTGAATGATACTTCAAATAAGCGTTTGTTTTTATCAGAAATGTTTAATGGGGACCACCCATCACATCTTGCTCACGCTCAAACAGCTTTTATTTTATTAACCTATGTACGTAAAAACTTTCTTTATAACTTAAAAAATAAAATTAAAGGTGGCGTTCTAAAGCCAGCACAGTTAAACAACAATTTCATTAAAAAAAAAATGTTTCCAAAAAAACTAACAACCGCTTTAGATGTACCTAGTATTTGCTGGACTGCTGTTTTGCCGGATTTCAGGTTTATAATACGTCATGATCTTTATAACCTTACAGTTCTACTTAACAGCGGTTTCATTAAACATAAAAGACACTTATGGAAACAAGCAGATGCTATACGTCATGACGTTCGTGGGGGATATTTTGCATATCATTCTAACAGTACATTAAGTTTAAAGTTTAACATCGAAGGAAAAATAGAAAGAAACATTTACATTGCCGTGTCTCACCAACAAAATGGTGGTTTAACAGTGTTTACAATCTCAAACTTATCAGGATTAAATCATAATAAAGTTTTGATTGACTGTTCGAGACATTCTTTTAAAGCAATGGATGTTCATCCACTAGGCAGATTTCCAGCTGGAAAAACTACAATTAACGTGTTTACAATCACAGGTGGTTGTGAGTTAAACGCTATTATTATTGAATGAGGTTATTGCTAAAGCTATAAAGAATTAGCCCTTGTAATTGTAGCATAACGTTTTCAATTGTAGCAAAACGTTTTCAATATAAAAAAAAGTTGTCAACGTTTTTTACAGCTTTTCAACATATCTGTAACACAATGCTATCACGTGGCACAACTTGCATCAATATTTGCATCATTTAAAATTAAAGTTAAAAAACGTTTATCAATGTAAATCGAAAAAAAAGGCATATATATTTATACATTGTTTTACTTTTAGACTCAACAAGACAAAGAAAAAGATCTTTGTCGTTTCAATAACATCGATATTAGACTCATCCGGTACTTTAGAGCTCATCGGGCTCATCCGGTACTTTTGTTAATTGGTATTGTTGAGAATAGTAGATATTTTATACATTTATAAAAATCTATATTAATTATAGTGTGATAGAAAAAGTATATGTGTTTTTATGGAATAATAGAATTATTTTTTTTAAATTTTAAATACCTTTTAAATATCTTTTTGTCAACTATTTTATCAAACTTTTTTGTAGAAAAAAAAAAATCAAACTTAAATCTAAATTAAAAATTTTATTACAAATGTTCTTGGTTTATTTAATCTAGTTATTTTTGTTCTTTGAATTCTTACGCCTTTTAAATACTATCATTATTATCATTTTGTTAAAACTCTCTCTGTAAATATGTAGGTAAAAATAAAACAAGGTAAAAATTAAAATAGTTATAAATAAGATATAAAAGAATAAAATAAATCACTTTGGAAAGTTTTCTTCAAGAGTATTTTTGAAAATTGTTCGCTGTTGATTTGAATTCAAACATTCAACTGTCTGTACTAGAACTTGATAGGAACCTTCAGGCATTATATTTTCTGAAATTTCAATTTTCACTTTCTTCTTATCCTGAATATTGTTTATATATATTTATATATTATATATATATATATATATATATATATATATATATATATATATATATATATATATATATATATATATATATATATATATATATATATATATATATATATATATATATATATATATATATATATATATATATATATTATATATATATTATATATATTGTTGAATATATTGTTTTTTGTCCAAATTATTTCCGAGCTTTTTAATTCTTTTTGCGGTTCAAATTCATTTTGCGGTTTCAAATTCCTTCAAATCTAAAACCATTACTTTAGCTAAGTAGCTTGTTTTTTATCGCCTGATAATATCGTTTGATAATATCGCCTGATAATATCGCCTGATAATATCGCCTGATAATATCCTCTGATAATATCGTCTGATAATATCGTCTGATAATATCGTCTTATAATATCGTCTGATAATACCGTTTGATAATATCGCTTGATAATATCGCCTGATAATATTGTTTGATAATATCGTCTGATAATATCGCCTGATAATATCGCCTAATAATATCGCCTGATAATATCGCCTGATAATATCGCCTGATAATATCGCCTGATAATATCGCCTGATAATATCGCCTGATAATAGCTTTTTTTTACATTTTCTTTATTCTACTATTGTAACTTTATATATTGAGCAAAGAAGATTTCCAAAATTTAAAAACTTTAAACCGTATTTACAGTGATTAAGGCATTACCGTTTTTTACCGCATTACCAAACCAAGACAACATTTTTTTTTTTTTGTTTACATATATTTGTCATTATTAATATAAATTTGTACAACATTTTACTGTGAAATATATGACTGGAGCAAGTAGAAGGCAATAGTCTTATCATCTTGCCCCATTTTTGTCGTTGACAAAATATAACAAAATATAAGCCAAATACAAATATAATAAACTATCTATAATACATATATATATATATATATATATATATATATATATATATATATATATATATATATATATATATATATATATATATATATATATATATTTACAATGAACATCATTAAATAACCAAGCAAGTAATATAATTGAATTTCAAGAAAAAGTGAAGACTTAAATTGAAAAAGGAAAAATTTTAAAATTTAGAATTTTAAAAATAAGAGATTGTTTCATTAATGTTGAGGTTGTAGCTATTGCTTTACAACGAATTTAAAATGTTGGAATGAGTTTATCGTTTTTATTTTATTTGTTAGAAATGAGTTCCACAATTGGGGTTCTCTGCGGGATATTGAGAATTTAGATTGTCTTAAAGAGGTTTTCGGAATATAGTAGTTCTTGATAGAATATTTTGTTTGGTATTTGTGATTAATAAGGCGAAAATAGTTATGAAAGACTTCAGGGACCAGATCATTTTTTAGTTTAAACATGAACTGAAGAATGCAATCTTGAATTTTGTTCGTAGAACTCCCTCATTAAATGTTAAGAACTGGTATTTCGTTTGTTATTATACGGCACGCTTATTTTTGTTTTTTATATATTAAATCTAGTTTTGATTGGTAGGTACTAGCCCAGGCAATATTGCAGTAGTTAATATAGCTTGAATATATATGCAAAATAAAAAACTTTTAAGGCATGCATTATTTAAAACATATCTGGTTTTATGCATAACTCCAATGTTTTTAGATATTTTGTTTTTTAATATATTAATGTGTTCTTTCCAGCTAATATGTTCATCTAATAATACCCAGAGAAATTTAACTGAGAATGCTCGATTTAATCTAACTTCGTCTAATAGAATATCTGGAAGTTTTAATGGTAGTTTGTCAGAATTGTATGGTTTTGTGAAAAAGATATAATTACTTTTCTCAATGTTGACAGAGTTTGTTTGCTTTAAACCAATCGCTCAACTCTTCAAGTTCCTGATTTACTGTATTAAAAAGTGTAGTAATGTTAGAGTGGGTATAGAAAGCTCGAGTGTCATCTGCAAAAAGAATGAAGTTCAATATACTGGAAAATAAAAAAATGTCATTTATATAGGTTAGGAAAAACAGAGGTCCTAGAATAGACCCCTGGAGAACACCACTTGTGACAATTTCAAGAAAGAGTATGTTTTATTGTAAAATAAGGCTTGTTTACGGTTTTTTAGGTGGCAACTGAACCATTTTAAATTTTCATTTTTTATACATAGTTATAAAGTTTGTATAGAAGGATCTCGTGGTCCACTGTATCGAAAGCCTTCGAACGGTAGATAAATACTCCAAGGGTGTGTTTGATTTTTTCAAAGCCACTTAAAATTTTGTTAACTAATTTTATTACAGCATGTTCAGTTGAGTGGCCTTTTTTAAATCCGAATTGGTTATTGTAGAGGATGTTATGCTTTTAAAGGTACGTAAACGCAGTGAGCACCGGACCAAAAAAAGACGTCTTTTGAACGTTCAAAAGACGTCCAAAACGTTTAAAAGACGTTCAAAAGAAGTCAAAACGTATATAAGACGTTTAAAAGACGTCTTATTTATGTCCGTGTTTATTAGGAAGGGTCTATTATACATTATACGCTCCAATATTTTTGAGAAGCATGGTAGTATGGAGATGGGTCTAGAGTTAGATAAAGTTGAGTTTATAAAAAAATTGTTAAACAACTTCTTTTTTATCACTGATAATATGTTTTTATTATTAGTATCTCCGCTTTTAAATACTGGAATTACGCGTGCTAATTTTAGGCGGTCAGGAAAAACTCCATTTTTTAAAGAGAGATTAAAGATATACATTAGGGGATACTCAATAACGTCATAAATATTTTTAACAACTTTAGAGTCTATATCATCAAGACCAGGACTTTTTCTGGACTGTATGGTTTCAAAAGCATTCCAAAGCTCATCAGGAGATAAGTCATACTCATCCGTGGTCTACTTTTTTCAAGTGTGATATAAATAATTTTTTACTTGAAGTTATTTTATTTGCTAACGTCTTTCCAATTTTTATAAAATAATAGTTAAAGCTTTCAGCAATTTCTTTTTTATCACTGATAAATATGCTTTTATCATTAGTATTTAAACGTTTAGGCAGTGAATTACCAGAGTCTATCTTTTTTTTCCTATTATTTCTTTTATAACATCCCATGTTTTTTTTATTAAACTTTTTATCCATGTTTTTTTTTATTAAAATTTTCATCCATTTTTTTTTGTTTTCAAAATTGTTTTGCATTAAATTAAAATAATTCTTGCGCATGGTTGAAGTGATCGGACGTGTTTTTGCAGCGTGGAATTATTTGTTATTTTGATTCTTTTTATTTTTTTTATTTTATTTTTTTTTAACAAACTACTACTAATAATAAATTTTTGATATGGATACTAAAAGTATTGAAGTACTTGTTGCTGGTTTACTTGAGAAACATAAAAATTCCAACTTAGATGAAACAAAAAAACTTTTAAAAAAACAAGAAAAGAGTTTTGCATCCTTAACAGCTGCAAACTTTAAAATGTTCACAGAAAGGCTGAATGAATATGAAAAAGATAATATAAATAATCTTCAAAAGATTAGAAAAATTGAAAATGATTTAGAGATAACAACTAAAAAAGTAATCTCTCTTGAGGCTGACTTTACGGAATTAAAGAAATACATAAACACCAGTGATCAAATTGCTACTGAGAAATTCGAGGTAGTAAAAAAGAAAACTAAAGAAATAGGGTAGGGTGGGGCAAGATGCCCCCCTTAACAAACTTTATCGTATATAAAAAATACTTTTACATTTTCTTGTGTTTTTTCTTTTTAATATTAAAGTTTACTTATAAGAGAAGACATTGGTAAGATAAAATAACTACTTTGTTACTGTTGATAAACTTAAAAATCAAAAAAAAAAAAACTTGTGCCAGAAGACATCTTGCCCCAGTGGTGGGGCAAGATGCTCTATGGATTTAAAGAAAGAAAGCTTTTCACGCGTTATTCCCCAAACCATTAAAACAGTTGTTAAAAATAACTTCTTAAAAATAAAAGTTCTTAATAATTAATAAGTTCTTAAAAATAAAAGCCCTTATTAGTTTTTTTTATTTACTCTTTACATTTTATTAAAACAACTGAAATATTAACACTGCAAATAAATACTATGCAATTATTCTATACAATTGTCTTGAAGATAAATAACTTCTTTTTTAATTATTAGCAATAAATAACTAAAACAAATGTTCTAATAATGATGTATATACATGACTATGATTCACAGTAGTAGCATAAGTCTGAATCATCTGGACCACACGAAGAGTGGTACCAAGATATACATTTGTCCAATCATCAAATGGGGGCACATAAGCACAAGAGCATATGATGCATAAAGTAGTATCAGTAATAAAACATTGAGAGGCTTTCTGCTTTTTAAACTTCTTTGGTTTTTTTGTCCTCAAATTTATTAATTTCTTTTTTTGCTTGATTACCTTATTAAGTGCAGCTTTTTCTTTACGCAATATTTCTTCTTGTTGCTTTTCTTTTACATTGTTTTCATGTTCTTCTAATCTCTTCTTGAAAGGCGAAGAAGTAAGATTTTCAGCTGATTCTGTCTTTCTTTTAATGTCTTAATACAGTAATTTT